TCATCTCGACACTCGAGTGTCGCTCCGCAGTTTATCGTTCTTCTCCATCGTCTTTGCCTTGTCTTGGCCACTCCTCCTCCAGTCTTCAGTCTACAGTCTTCACTCTCCAGTCTTCAGTCTTCAGTTGGGGCCTGCCTTTTGGCCCAGTCGATTTCTCCTCTTCTCGCCGTCTTCCTTTTAACGCTTTTGGCATGGGCCTGCTGGTCTTTTCGTACGCAAGCGGCCCCATAACCAATTTCTAAACGCCAAAGACCAAAGCCCAAAGAACCGAACCAAACCAAACCGGCCAAGAAGAAGAGTTTGGACATGGCCAAGTGACATGCAAAGCGAAAGCCAAGTGGGGTTAACGGGGTACAGTGGGTACTCGCATTAAGGGAAGCTTGAACTTCTAAAAAAAAATGTATTTCAATTATTTCAATTTTCTCTTTTACTTTAGAAGAAGATTAAAAGAATCATTTCTTGTACTCTTAAAAATTTTTGAATTAAAAATAAATATTTATTTATTTTAAAAGTATACAAATTTTAAAGAATTCTGTTCTAGAAACACACGGGTACTAGGTACCCTCTTAAAAGAATGTATTTCAATTTTCTGTTTTAATTTCGAATTTAAATTTCATATTTATGTATTTTTAAAGTATAAAAGCTTTGAAGAATTCTGTTCTAGAAACTCAAAGGTACATGGTAGCCATTATTTACTGTGTCAACTAACAACCGACAAATAAAAAGGCAACTACAACACGAAACATGACAGAAATGATGTCAAGCCAGCGGGCAACACGAACACAAAAAAAAAACTAACAGGAACAAACATATGGATCGAACCTCTGCGATTTGTTCTCAACTCGAAATACACTGAAAATAAGAACTGAAATTAAATTTTATTTTCTTATAATATTTATTACTTTTGTTTATCTTTCATTATTTGAATTTGAAAAGTAAGTTATGTTTTTTTTATAACTTCATTTGGTAAAAAGGCTTTATAAATATATGTAAAGTTTGGATATTGTTATCTTACGAATTAACATAAGAGTAGAAGCCAATATGTTTTACCATTGTTGACAAAATATTCAGTGATCTTCTTTTCTCTCTCTGTATGTTTTTGTTTGCCAGCCGAGTTTTGTAGGTGGGTTTTTAGTCCAGTGCAAGAAAGAAGCCAACAACAAAAGACCAAGACAAAGGTAAAGGCAGAGTGGAAGACGAAGCCAAATGGCGAGGCAAAAGGTTATCATAGAATGCCATCAATGACCTTGACACACCAACCAACCAGCACACGCACACAGAAACACTCGTATTCACCTGGAAATAAACACACCTTCCTTCCGCTGCGGGCAAATAACCGTAACAGAAAGGTAAGAAGCAAAAAAAAATGGAAAAATGAAGCAAATGAGGCAAACCAACGAAATCCGAAAACGGCAATAAGAGAAGTTGCCTTCAAGGCGAAGGTAGCCTTTTTTTTTGTTGCTGCCACTTATCACGATTGCATGAGTGTGTGTGTGTGTGTATGATATTACCAATTTTTGTTGAACGTGCTCCTTCAATGCCCAATGCTAATTCAAATACAGGCGACAAAATCCATTCAAGAATTTCCCAAATGAAACACTATACATTTTAAAAGCATCATACACATTCTCTTAAAGTTTCATAATAATGTAGTAAATAGATTCAGAGTTATGGTACTGTTGGTTCTAAGCTTTTTCTCAATTATTTTCTTATACCATATTTAGGTAGCCCTTCAACCCTTTTTAGAAATCACCCTTACTTACATTTTCTCAAGCATTTTTTGAAGAACCCACTAAAGACCAGTTACCCACTTCACTTGCGCCACTTTGGTCGCCTGCACATCGATGAAAGGCCCTGCGCAGGGGCTTTATTGTCTATTTGCCTGGGTATTTGCAGTGTGTGTGTGCGTTTTTCTGTCTGTTTTTACCTTTTCCGAGGGTCGTACGACCAACCAACCAACCAACCCCTCACTATGACAACAAAAACCTGCGACAGGTAAAATGTGAGATAACGGGGAAAAACGCTCGACGGGCAAACATGAACCTGCCCGAAAATGTGGAAAGGTATTTTTTCCCAGGCCAAGGAATTTGCACAGGTGACACGAAGATAGTTAACTTAAGAGAGCGCATCCCACAGCCCACATCCGCAACCGCTTCCACATCCACATCCGCATCCGCCTGGTGAGGGAACCTCTCCATATTCCCCCTAGCCAAATAGTAAAATCCACAGATGAACCTCCCATAACTGTCACATTAAGAACTCGACTTATGGACACTTGTTCACCTTTTTTTATGCACTTTTCAAAAGGTGTTGAATTTATAGCCGAGTGAAAAACAATTCGAGTCGGTCATTAGGTTTTTACTTGGTGTTTGTCGTAATTCCGACAACGATGTTTTCTATCAACAGTTAGGTAGACGTGATTGGATTAAAGGTAGTTTGAAATTAAACCCAGAAAAAATATACGTCTTTTATAACTAAGCAGTTGCATATAGTGCGTGCACTTAAAGATTGTATCTGTAAGTCATTCGTAATTAGGGATACCCAACACAAAAGTCTTACATTAGATTACTGTTTTTATTGTTTACTCCGAGATGCGATTAGGAAATACATTTGTTCTTCGGCGCTGGGTACACTTAGGAACCATTACATAAGATGATTTATAGATTGCATATTCACAATATCACTTGTTTATCCCATTACTACTGATGGATTTAGTTAAATTACCACTAGTTGTTGGTGTTTATTTCTCGAGACCCCGAACTTTTGATTACCCTAGATCTTAATCTACTTCAGTACTATTTCTAGATGGTATTTCTATATTAGTTTTTACTATATCACTTATTTATCCCATTACTACTGCTGTATTTGATTAAGTTAACCCTAGTTTTTGGTGTTCATTTCTCGAGACCCCCAAACTTCTGATTACCCTAGATCGTAATCCACCTCAGTACTATTTCTAGATGGTATTTTTAGATACACATAGGTAACTCCCACTCACCACAGACATCCAGCCATCCTTCGATTCTGCTGGGGTAGGAAATCGCCGAGGCCCGGCTTAAATAAGTTCGACGTCCCATTTTGTTGGGGGTGGTAATTTTGGTTTAGGTGGATGCTGTGCTCTCTCTCTCCTCTCTCCGGCGCTCTCTCTTTCGCTGGGCTGGCTCTCTACCGCATCCGTATCCGTATCCTCTCACTTATCGTTTAGCTTATCGACTCGTTGAGTTGTTGTTGTTGTTTTAGTTGCTGCTTAATTTGAATATTGATTTTGTTTGTTCTTGCTGTTGTTGCTTTGTTTTTATTGCACTTGTGCCTTATGGCGCTTTTTGGGGGTTATTGGTTATTGTAAAACAAAAGATTAAAGCAAAGCAAATAAAAGACCGAGATTTGTTACGATTTCAAGAGCAGGTTGTTGTTGTTGTTGTTTTCATTTGATTTTTAACGATTCCAAATCCAATTCCGCTCTTTGTTTTAATCTCCATCTTTCCTCTCCGTCTCCCTCTCCACCTGATTTTCGGTGTTCGGTGTTTTTAGTGTTTTTTGCTGTTTTTTTCGTAACAGCTGAGTGGCATTTTAGCGGTGCCTCTTTTTTTGGATTATGTTTTTTTTGGCTCTCCACCTTATTTACTGTTGTTTCTGTTGTTGTTATCACCAGAAACCAGAAACTTTATTTTGCACCTGTATACGTGTGTGTGTGTGTAATTTATTTTGGTGTACTGTATTATTTTTAAATCACGACTCCGCCAACAACAAATCAAGCATGTGCATGTTTCGGCGGCTTTAATTGTGTGTGTGTGTGTGCGGTCCAGAAGTTGTAACCTTGTTGTTGCTGCCCCTTGTTTTTTTGGAGGGGACGCTCTCCCACAAAACACTCGAAAAAAAAGACACAATAAAAGCTATCTTCGGATTTCGGATCCGGATCGACAACGGTTTCGCTTCGGTTTTCAAAATCGGCTGGAAGAGCGGAGAGCCGCGACGTGACGTCGACCGCGGTTGTCAAAAAAACAACAACAAAAATGTTAGGGGTGAGACAAGGAGACACTAGAGCTGGCAAACTATCGATGTCGCTATTGATAATATCGATAGTTGGGAGTTTGAAAACCAACCCGATACTATCGATACCGATACCCAGTTGCTAAATTGTTGAAACTCGATCATTTATTCTATACAAATTAAATTTTTAGAACTATTAGCTATTCAACAACTCTGGGGCTGTAGAAACGTTGAAAACTAGACTTATTTGAATACTCTAATACTTTTTATCGATTAATTGAAACGATCTGACGCCATTTTTATGGCGGGATACTGTCCATATTTTAAACCGTTTACCTTGCGTTAAAACCATTTAACTTTCGAATCAAATTTAATGCCATAGAAAAGCGATATGATAATAATATATCTATAGTTTTCGTCTAAAACATATTTCGATTTTTGCAATATTTTCGGAAAAATCACAAAAACTGTAACTGTACTCAAGGGAAATAAGTTTTATGTTGATTTTGAATAATTTTATTGTTTGCTTCTTTAATTAGTGCAAATTGTGCTCTTATTTTTGCAACGATTTAAACTATTTTAAATTCCAACTGTCAAATGCGTGAGGGTGAAAGGGAATCACCCTGTGGGCTTGTTTTGTTCAAGTTTTTTGGCGCAAAAGTTGAACTGCTTTGAATTTGGATAAGGCAAATGGGATGGCATAAGAAATTTGTTGTTTATTCCAAAGTAGAACAAATTTTAATTATTCGACGTCAAAGATGTTTATTTTACCTGAAAATGTTCGCAGACTTCGACGTTTTTGATATTAAAAAAAAATAAATTAAACATCGATGCTTTGAAAACAAAATTATTTATTTGGTTTTTAATAAATTAATAAATAAGTAGAATAAAATAGCCCAACTGCTATACCTTTATGGTTTATATTAAAATTTATATTAAAAAATTAAAAAACCTACCAGTGTTGCAAAGCGCCCGCCAACCAGAGCTGTCAACTGTCAGCACACACACACTGTTGCATTCCATTTACCGTTCAAACGGCGTTTTTGTGCGCGTCGCTTTTTGTTTGATTGAATTGATTAATAATTTGTTAGCGACTAAACGACTAAAATAAGGAGCAGGAATGGACACTCCACGTCGAAAGCTGCGCAACTTGCACATGGAGAATGTGCAGAACAGCAGCACCCCGATTCGCGTGCCGCCGTCGCCGATGCTGAAGACTCTGGGCCACGGGACCGGCGTGAGTGTTTACCGCTTGGACCGCTCGCCCCGTTTGGGCCAGATCCGCTCGCCGTGGGCCGTCAAGCGGATCACCCAGAACATGCGGGCCAAGCGGGACACGCTCTTCAACGAGCGGATTGTCCACGAGGCGGACATCCTTCGGTGAGTCGGCGGATTTCCATTTGCACTTCCTTTTCGTTTTTAATGGAAAGCTGTCACTGTGTCAGTGTCCTGCGTGCGCGCGTGTGTGTGCGTGAGGCGGTGCGGAGGCTGCATGTGCGTGTGTGCTAGGGTGGTCCGATATGTGGGTCAGAGGAGCTCAGTAGGGTGGCTCACGGGGGTTCAAATATGTAGGATGAAATTTTAAATCACCTATTAATTTTATTTAAATTATGTATTACTTTGTTTCATTTTAATATTGAATCGCAGCGACTTTTACTCACTTTATTTTAAATTAATTTTTTTAATTTTTCAACTCTGAAAAAACTTTTTTTTTATTTATTTAGTAAATTCTTAAAGTTTTGAAATTATGTATTACTTTGTTTCATTTTAATCCTAAAATACAGTGACATTTACTCGCTTTAATTTAAATAATTTTTTTTAATTTTTCAATTTGAAAAAACTTTTTTTCATATTTTTAGTCAAACCTTAAAGTTTCACTCCCTAAACATTGAGTTACCCCAATGTGCATCCGTGTGAGCCTTTGGTGTACATACTACGCAGGATGGGTGCTTTAAATGACCAATAAACTCCCCCTGAAAATAGAATTAATGGTGTATTCTCCCCTTTCAGCAAACTAAAGCATCCCAATATCGTGGGATTCCGTGGCGTGGTCACCAGTGACGAGGGCGTCAACACACTGGCCCTCGAAATGTGCACCACTTCGCTGGGCTCCATACTGGAGGAGCGTCACGACGAGGATCTTGGCCCACTGCCGGCCAAAAACACCTTCAAAATGATCATGGACGTGGCTTTGGCCCTGGACTTCCTACACAACGAAGCTCGCTTGCTGCATGGCGACCTCAAGTCCTTTAATGTCCTGGTTAAGGGAGAGTTTGAGATCTGCAAGTTGTGCGATTTTGGGGTAGCTCTTCCGCTGGACGAGCAGGGCGAGATTAATTTCCAAAAGAGTCCCGAGCTGCGCTATGTGGGTGAGTTATACAATAAACTTTTATAGGGTCAAAATAATAACCAGCACCTTTTGTAACGCAGGCACAAGCCTTTGGTGCGCCCCGGAGGTTATCGACGACATGGACATTATTGACAGCAAGGCCGACATCTTCAGCTTTGGCCTGGTTATCTACGAAACGCTGGCCTTGGTGCCGCCGCACACATTGGAGCTTGATGCAGCGCTTGGCGAGGATATGGACAGTTCCCACGATCTGTCCACCGAAACGGAGAAGGTGCAGCGCAAGCAGCTGGACTTCTCGGGCGATGAGAGTAAAATGGACGAGCACACGGACAACGATATGAGTCAGGATGTGGTTGACGAGGAGGCGGAGGAAGTCGACGAGGAGGAAGAAGACGACACCAAGGAGAACGACATCTCGGACTTCACGCTGAACAACCTGCATTCGGCCTACGGAACACGCCCACCGCTGCCAGTGGCCTTTCAGCTCAGCGACGATTACAACTGCATCGTGGAGCTGTTCTACCTGTGCACGAATGCCCTCAGCGAGGATCGTCCCGCGGCCAAGACCATTTGGCAGTGCCTGGAGAACAATGCCGCGAATGTGGCTACAGGAGGAGGCGATTAGACTGATCATCCTCCGCAATCTTCCTCCCCTTCGGAAATAAGCTCTTAATGTCTCATTTTTGTTTGCATGTACGAGTATCTATCTAGCTATAATTCCTACTCCGTAAGAAGAATCAAACGATTCGCATATACATATATACAAACGATCGGATTAGATAAGTGTACATATTCAGCAGCCAAAAGAGAGGTCGAATAAATCGAATCCCGAATGAAACAACAACTTTATGGTTTCAAATGTTTAGGATTATTGAAAAACAGGTGGTTACTAATGACGTCTATAGCTAGTTGTTTCGAAAAAACAGTCTTGAAAGTGACAAAATGTATATAAAGACTCGAATAAACTATTGAAAATGACTGGAAAGCTAGAAATAAGTGAAACCAATCCAATTGAATTGAATTGCTTACAACAATGTACCAACTAAATATGATTTCAGACCTTACACTTTTTTTTGTCATACTTTAATTATCGTAAGCTTCAAATTAGTTGTGATATAATCAATAAACTTACATTACAACCTCCCAGAAAAAACTCCATTTGCGCAGAAGCTCGGTTACAAGTTTACTTAGGTTTATTAAAAAATAATAATACATACATCAAAATATAAGTTTTTCTTTCGTGATCTTTCGCTTTTCGGTCTTTTTCAGTTGTTATATATATGGTATATGCGTATGCTTGGGAATCGGGGATTCAGATTGCTTGGGTTCAGTATAAGGATATGTGGAATGGTGATGATGAGGGGATATAGTTTCAGATTCGCTGCTGTCTCATAAATACGGATATTGTTAACTTCAAGTCGGGCAGATCGGCCTTTTCTCGATTTGACTAAAGCGTATACAGACTTCAATTAGGTCTACGGGGATACGTATTCAACATATAGATCGTATTAGTGTATATATTCTCTTGTATATATATAAAAAGTATCGAATTGCTCTCTTGAAGGCGAAGGCGCTGTTGGTGTTTCGTTTGTTTTTCTTTATCGTTTTGTTAACTTCATCTCCTCGTTTTTCTTCTTTTTTCTCCGTAACTCTAAATGATGACAATTACAACAAACAACTTGTACGAGTATTGGACACATTTACGAAAAACAAAAGTTAAAATTACAAAAAGTACAATATTTAAAATAAACCAAACAAATATTATGAGTAATGCCAAAAAAAAAATTAAAAAGGAGTCTAGCAAATCAAGAACCGTACATTTTTTGGGTTTCGACTTGGTAAAGTACATAAAATGGAATGTTTTGGTTATAAATTATTCGTGCTCGCATGTGTGATTATTAGATATCAGATTTTAGGTAAAATCGTTTTTTTTTTAAATACGATTTAAAGCCACATTTGATTGGTTATAAATTTAATTTATTAAGTTATAATTAGATTTAGGCAAAACTTAATTGAGGTTTTTGTAAAAAAAAATGTAACCAATCAAATGTGGCTTTAAACTATATAAAAAAAAAAGATTTCACCTAAAATTCGATGTCTAGTGATTATGTTTACAATTATTGCCTTTTCAGTTTCGGAATTCTTGAATTCGAATAGGCTAAGTAAATTTCTCTGCCTTCTGCATTTGATGCTCTCTCTCTCTATCTCATTCTCTCCTCAGCGGTCTCACTCTAAACTAATGCAACAAGCAAGAAAAAAATAACAAGACGTAAATCTTACAAATTTAAATACACATATATATATGCCAAGGAAAAAGATAAAAACAAGGGACTGCATTCAAAAACGTGCAAATGAATATGACTTTGAGTGTGTGTTTCGTATGGAATGTATGGGGGTAAAGTCGTATGATTATGCATATAATCGCATCTTATATATGGCTCACCTACTAAATAACTGGGAATTTTGAAGAAATCTCTAGTGATTTTACAAATATTTCTTCAAAAATCCTGCCTTAGTAAGTGAGCCATATATAATCGATCGGTGATTAGCTGGCCTAACTTGTATAACTTTAAATAATTGACTTGCGTTTAACGAACTTATTCGATCTTAAGGAAAGGTTAAGTCTGATAAACTAAAAATCCTCTGCTGTGAATTCGCCTTTTCCGTTGCTTGAGTTCTCTGGATGCTGCTGGGTGTGCTATATATCTCCTCTCGATCGATCCTACAAATGCAGCACTCCATCCTTGACATCGCTGGCCATTATCGTGGACGCATTGGAGGCTGCCTGCTGGTGTGACGAAGGCGATGAGCTTAACGGTGGCGCGGCGGCGGCTGTGGACGTGGGACTCTCGTCGAGTGTGACGCCCGTCAGATCCACGATATCATCCTGATCGTCGTGCTCGATTTCATCGGAGGTGTTGGTATTATTCGTGTGATGTGACCCACTCGACAGCTGGCTGTTCCGCGAGAAGGAGCCGCGATGCGTGGACGTCAGCGTGCGCTGATTGGCCGGCTTGACGGTGATGATCAGATTGGAGCTATTGGCCACCATCATATCGGTGACCTGGTCCAGAGTCTTGCCGGCCACCTCGATGCCATTGACCTCGATCACCTCATCGTTGACGGCCAGCAGCCCAGTGCTTTCGGCCAGGCCACCCGGCACTAAACGGGATATAAAGATGCCCGGCTGCTTCTCCAGCCCACTGGACGTCACCCGCACCGAGGTGCCGTCGCGGATGTAGAATCCCAGCGGCTTGTCGCTGCCGTGCTTCAGCAAACGCACCCGCCTGTGCGTCTCCGGCACAATGTCCACGTCTATGATGGCCGACACCTGGCGGAAGTCGTGCGGTATGGATATCGAGGGCGCCTTGGTCTTCACGGGCGTGTGGCCCATCAGTATGCTGCCGATGAGGTTCCGCGGCTTCATCGTCCCAAAGCCAGAGTACTCGTTCAGGTCGTCTGTAAGGAGGGGAAATAAATATTATATTATATGATATACTATTTCTAAATTTTAGAAATCTCGCCATTGAAAATAGAAAACAAATTTCTTGTTTTTAGAAAATTTGCCTTTGAATGTAGAAAACCTTTCTAGATGAAGAAAATTCAAGAAAGATTGTTCTAGATTTCAAGGAAATTCTTCTCACCTTTCCGCTGAACGATGACCCGCAAAAGAGGACGAGCTGTTTTTAGGGCCCTGCCGAAGTTATCATCGTTGTTGATCGGCAAAAGATCGTTGTCCCGCGGATCGATGTAGAGTATGAGAAACTGGATGTTGGTCAGCATGTGCAGCTGCTCGATGAGGGCCGCAAATTTGTCGAAGCTCTGCTCCGCCTCGTTCCGTTTGAAGCTCCACCGCCGGAACTCCGCATCAAACTTGAAGATGGGTTATTAGAAATTAGAAATTAATATATATTTATTGTTATAATATAATAAAAAGCCCTTACTTTGTACTCGGTATCACCTGTTGATTTTAGTTCAACCCATCCTATATTTTTGAATTCATCTTGGGCGATATCTATTTCTTGTTACCAAATAAGCCCCTTAGTTAGTAATACCTGTTGATTTCCTAACTTGTTTTGGTTTAACCCATCCTATAATCTTAGTTCCATCTTATTAGATGAGAGATTAGAGATTGTAGACTAGTGTTTACAAATATTATTATATTTCTTGTTATTATTTTATGTATTACCTGTTGATTCCCTTGTGGGGAAACTATTTCCTTAACTTTTTTAGTTCAACACATCCTACAATCTTGAATCCTAAACTTAAAGATTGGTTATTAGAGATTGGAAATTAGAATCTTATTCTTGTTACCAAGTAAGTCTACTAGTTTGTATTCGGTATAACCTGTTGATTCCCTTGTAAGCAAACCATTTTCCTAACTTTTTTCGGTTCAACCCTATCCAATCCTATAATCTTAAAATCATCTTGTAAAGTGCTTTTTTTAGAGCTGTAGAAGATCCTACAATGTTCGTATACCTGCTATAAGGTGTGGAAGATATTACTGACATGAAAACTATCAGTGGAAAAAGAGGAAAACAGGGTGGTTTTCGAAATCAACAGATACTTTTAAGGGAAGAAAAATCATCTCTTTATTTGTAGTTAGTAGCCTGTTGAATGATATGCCATCTTAAAACCCAGCATTTCCAACTGGTAGTGAAGATCAACAGATGGGGAATACTATATAACCGAAATATTTCAACCTTTGCAGGTTTTTCAGACAACTCCCCATCTCAGAACCCTCCGATTTCGAATCCAACTAGTAAATCCCATTTCTGTGCGCATGAATCAGCAGCTCAGCGGCGAAGAAAGGGGCGTGGATGTCGGCAAAGGCGGGGATTCCGGGGGCTACGAACCCTATAGGACTCACCTTCGACTTCACCTCGATCAGATTCGTTTCGCTGGCCGCCACGCCGGACGTTGTGTTTATCTTGTTCTTCGACATTTTCTCCAATCCAAAGCCAAATATCCGATCAAAAGTGCACACAGTTTTCTCCTCCACACACAACACAAAACACAGTTGCCTCTGATCTGATCTTCAGGATCGATATCGAAATCGAACCGAATCGCCCGATACGAACCGATGCGAACCGAAACCGAACCAAACCGCAGTGCACCGGGGTAATTTAAATTAGAGTTAGAAATCTAAATTAAAACTAATTAAATAAAAGAAATGGAGGTGTGGTATTTTGTGTGGTATTAATTAGTGGTGGCCGCGAAAAATACCTCCAATGCTGTGTGACCGGCTCTGCGAAATGTACTTTTTAATACTGAAATATACCGAATGCCGTTGGTGACATAGCATGTACACACACCTATCGTTTGATTGGCCCATCTCTAGCCCGAAATTCAAATTCAAATATATAACTATTTCGATTGTTATGTTTTCTTAGAGTTTGGAATACATAGTTAATTGAAGAATTATTTAAACAACTTCATTCTTACCCTTATCTTTCTATTTTTAAGGGCTTAATGAAACGAAACAAATATTTAAAATTAAGCTAAAAAAAACAGTCTACTGGCTTGCTATCGATATATCGATGACGCCAGAGCAGCCCTGAAAGGTGCATTAGTGTAGAGACAGTTTATTTGTGTGCGCCAGGTGGACTTTCGGATGCGCTGCAACTGCAAAAGGACTGGAAATAACACTTAAAACCCAATTTTACCGGCATTTAGCGGTGAATAAATATTAAATTCACATAAATGTTCAGTTTTAGTGAGCCTATCTTTAGCTAGCGAGCCCATAAAGTTCGGAATTCCTTACCAAAATCAAACGGGCACTCAAATCGCACATGCCCCAGTTGTAGCGCAGCGACTGCGACGAGGGTTACTGTAAAATGGAAACTGTTTTTGTGTGTTTGTGTTGTTGTCGAGCGTGAAGTGTGCAATTAGACAACTGAATTTGTTTAAATGTGACGAGAAAAGGCACACAACAACAACGGCGAAGGCGAGCGAATCGATTTCAAAACAATAACAAGCTACGAAACAAAATTCCCAGTCGCTCGGAAATCCGGAAAACGGGAATTTCGGACACAGCTATATATACACACATACAGTAAATATATACATATATACAGGCGCGGAGAGGAGAGGAGAGGAGAGCGTGCGAAAACAGAAACCCAAACAACGGCACACAAATATTTTGGCCACTTTTCCGAGCCAGCTGGGAAAAGGAAAAGGCGGTGAAATTGGGACTTTCGGCGGCCCAAAGAGCTCAGCTGCAGGAATAAGCTGACGAAACTCGAACGGAAACCGAAACCTTGAGACACCGACTCTCACGCACACCAGCGCAGGCCCCTTTGGACGCACACACACACACACACACACACGCAGGAGCAGAAGGAAGCAGACATCATGAGTTCGGTAGGATAAACAAATTTATCCAATTATCCAGTATGGTTAGCATACCACCTTGGGTAACCCTTATATCATATGATACCATTCTGGCAATAAGAATTCTGACTGTGATCAGCAAATAAGTAGGAAGTGCAGTTCATGAGTTCGGTGGGATAAACAAATGTCTATAAGTAATACTGTACATAGATCCTAAGAAGCCATTCTTATTTATAAACACTATATACACTATATAAAAATGAGCAGGAAGTGCTGACAATAGGAGTTCGGTGGGATAAACAAATTCCCCTGTCTATATGTAATACATACTTTGGATATTGGGAGTACATAGAACCTAAGAAGCCATTCTTATTGATAAGCACTCCAATTCCTACCTAAAAATGAGCAGAAAGTGCTGACATTAGGAGTTCTGTAGGTTATACGACTTATTGGGAGCCCATAGGTCCTAAGAAACCATTTTACTGATAAATATTTATATTTACGAGTATGGTACGGTATAGTAATGGGGGTTCTTATAACGAGGGTTCTAGAAATATCATGTATACGATTTAACATACCTTACTGGGAGCACATACATAGGTCCTAAGACACATTTTACTGATAAATATTTATATTTACGAGTATGGTATGGTACAGTAATGCAGGTTATTTTGACGAGGGTTCTATATATATAATATAAATATACCATGAGTTCAGTAGAGTAAAGAAATAATCAAAATAAACATACTAAACGACCAGTTTAGAAAGCAATTTCTTAAGGAGAGTATTCAAAATTAGCCCTAAGCCACATCCATAGATCATAATAACTCATTTGTACCAGTAACTGTATAAAAATGTTCTTTACTTGACCTCCGATAGCTTAGTAATTTACCAATAAGCCATGCAGTTCTAATATTAATAATTTCCCTCCCAATCTCAGCAATATTCGAATGTGGAGAACCTGTCGCCGCAGACGATAAGGCAGGTGATGCGGGAGCTGCAGGAGATGGAGACCACGCCGCCGGAGGGCATCAAGGTGCTGATCAACGAGAGCGACGTGACGGACATTCAGGCGCTGATCGACGGACCTGCTGGCACTCCGTACGCCGCCGGGATTTTCCGCGTCAAGCTGACGCTGAACAAGGACTTCCCGCAGACGCCGCCGAAGGCGTACTTCCTCACCAAGATCTTTCACCCGAATGTCGCCGCCAACGGGGAGATCTGCGTGAACACACTGAAGAAGGACTGGAAGCCGGATCTGGGCATCAAGCACATTCTGCTGACCATCAAATGCCTGCTGATCGTACCGAATCCGGAATCGGCGCTGAACGAGGAGGCCGGCAAGATGCTATTGGAGCGTTACGACGACTACTCGCAGCGGGCGCGCATGATGACAGAGATCCATGCCCAGGTGAATTAATTAATTAATTTCTAAATTTTAGAAATCTCGCCAGGCCGATTTACTACCTTTGAAAATAGAAAAAAAATTTCTTGTTTTCAGAAAATTTGCCTTTGAATATAGAAAAATTTTCTAGATTTTAAGGAAATTTTTCGATTTTTTTATGAGGGTATTATAAGGACTTTTTTATATTTTTCCAAAAGAAAATTCCAATCTCAGTTCTCGAACTTGTAATAATTTTGAACTGAGTCATGATCTTTCGTCAAAAAAAATATTTATCACACTGAGTAATCATCTGAATCATTTCCGACATGATTTTTATTTGTGATAGCTTTACTGCGTTACACCAAACGCATTCCGTAAAAATAGGGCTCATGAATATTATAAATATATTAAAATATTATGCTTTCTTATAATTTTCTTAAGACAAAATGTATATGTTACCGTAAAATAATATAAATTGCTAGCCAAGAGTAGGCAAAAATCGAATTAAATATACAATTGCTAATACATTCCTTTTCCCATCCAATTTTAGCCCGCCAAATGCGGTGCAGGCGCTGCTGCTGATGCCAAAGACGACGATGGACCCTCGACGAAGAAGCACGCGGGCCTGGACAAGAAGCTGCAGGACAAGAAGAAGGAGAAGTTGCTCAAGGAGAAGAAACGCATGCTGAAGAGATTATGAGAGGCATAAGGCGGAGTTCCATGGACTAGCTAATCAACCAGGAGCAGTAAGCAGTAAGCAGGATACGAGAGGATGGCTAGATGATAGATGATAAGGGATGGATGAGTGCGAGCGTTAAACCCCACAAACAACCACTTGAATGGCGGCAGGATCGAAGCTAGCATGGTGAATTTATAGGAGCAGGCGCGCTATGAAATTTTACACTGATCTGATACAAAACAAAAAGAAGAAAATTTAGCAACTGAGGAGGAAAGGGAAGAACGATGAAACCCGGGAAGCGAAACCGCATCATTGAAGGCTAATATCGAAAACGGAAGTTAAAGCTGCGAAATTTCGGTGGAACGAGAGAGAGATAAAGAACCACTCCAAAGAAAAGTGCATCCAGTTACCATATACGATTATTTAAACCACATTTTTTGGTGACAGCACCTGTCAACCGAGCGTAGAATGTAGAAACAAAACAAAACAAACCAACAAACAAACAAAAACCAAGAGAAATGGGGAATGCAACCATCTCCCAAGTTATTTATGTAGTTCTCTTTTCTTCACGCTCATGAGCTATCCTAGCATAATTTATGTAATTAGATTAAAGAAAAAAGGAGAACAATATCGCCTCATACATGCCACCAACTCCCAACTCCCACACCCTGCCCAAATCTCTCTTAAAAACAAAAACAAAACATCACCAACTTACCTTAATGAGCATTATTACCGATCACTTGGGGTCTGTCCGTATATTGGGTGATCCTTCGTTTAATCAATTTAACCAGAAAACAAATGTGTATTCGATATCGCCAATGTACGAACGCCCCCATAAAACTTAAACTTACTCCTTATATTTTTTTTGTGTCTTTTTAAAATTGTATCCACTTAGTTTTAAAATTAATAAATTTCGATTCGTTACATTCAATTGTCCTGCTTAGGTTTAAGATACAAGAAAAGAAAAGAAAAGAAAACAACAACCACGCATCCAACAAACAAAATCACACAAAAAATACATAAAATTATTAATGAAAAACTGTAAAAGATCGATTGCACATTCTGTAGAGATTTAGCCTTAAGTTTACCTATAAATGTAAAACACTCGACGCGAAACGAAACGGATCGTAATGGAGCGGAACGGAATGGCACGGTGATAAGTGCATGGGATATCCTCGTCCTGCCGTTTGCTATATATATACGGCTATATCTTTCTCGCCTGCTGCTCTCTCTCCTTTCGTTCAAACATCCTTTTCAAGCTCACACAACAAATACACACAACACGAGGGCGACGAGTAAAAAAGCAATAAAAAAGAATAAAATTCCAAGAACAATTTCAAAACAAAAGCAAGTTTGGAAAAGCAAGACTTAGAATCGTGGACGATGAAGGGAGTTTAGAAGTATCTTTCAGAAATCGAGCGTGGATCTTTTGGGTAAGTCACCTTATATTGAATTTGTGTAGTAGTTGTGTTGTCGAAAACTAGATCTTTGTTTCTATGAATATTATAAATTTTTAAAGTTATAATTTGTATCATAAAAATACCTAAAGATATTGATATTTTTATATATAAATTAGTAATTATTCCTTTTATAACGCAAATACGTTGGTAAAATCGAAATTTTTATAGAATTATTCCAGAGTGATAAGGAAATCTATCCAAACAAATTCCAAAACCATTTTTAAATCTGATGTTTTGGGATATCAAAACATGTGTATAATGATAGTACTATCTATCGGTCGTCTGATTTTTTCCGTGCATAATTGTTAGCACTTGGTTTTCCAGATCACGTAGCGCGTGCCAATAACAAAAGGCATTTCCTAGTTCCGCTTCACTCCCCTTCCCTTTCCGCCCACCGCCCACCGGAAGAGTTTATCTCTGTTTTGGGGAGTTTCTCGATTCCCGCGATTCTGCGAAATGTCATGAGACACTTGCACACACACACTCTCTTTGTTGTCGTGGTGTGGTGACTGTGGGTCTGAGGTCTGAGTAGGTGTGTGCGGTTCTTCCCCTCTCGCTTCCACTCTCTACCTGACTTTGTCTAACCGCCAACGCTTTTGAGCCGGGCCAACATTCCAATCGGGTCGGATCGGATCGGGTCTAACCTTCAGGCAACTTGTCGCTCGAACCAAATATTGTCGCACAGCCAGAACCAGAATTTCGCTGGGGCACCGACTATGGAATACCCTTTCATGCATTTTGTGTATCTAAAAGGCTTTATCCATCACTAACTTTATTTACATTCTGTAGTCTTATAATACTTTAAAAAATATATTTTTTTTTATTTCACATAAAATCCGATCATAAGGTGCCTTAATATATTATTAAGAAAATCTTCAAACCAAAATAGACTAAATATTTTTTTAGATCTTAGAATAAAACTAAATTTTGTTGAAAGAGATTTCCCCGGATTATGGTTAGAGTGTTTAGCCTGGCTCTCTTCGAAATCTCCGATTCAGATTCGGACTGAGTTCGATTTCGATTGTTCGGACTGGGCTCTGTTTCTCTCTCTTCTCTTTGGCTCTCCGAAGTCGGACTTGAATGAATGGCCAGCAGATCCGACCGCAAAATGGAAAATGCCGATCTATGGCGGGCGAAGGGGGGATGTGTGGGGAGGGGTTTTGCGCCAAGAGGGAGCGGCGGCGATCGCCAATTTCAGCTAAAGCTATAGCTACGGCTACAGCTACAGCTAAGCAACAACAACTGAAAAGCGAATAACAAACGGCAAAGGCAAAAAGCCAATGGCAGCAGGTAGATCAGTTGTGAATCTGGCAACAAACCATTTGGCTGGGGCTGCTGCTCCAAAACAATAAAAAAACAAAAATTCCAACAAAAATAACAAAAACAACGCGATTTCAAACCGATTCGATCCTCTCTTCGGCTCCAAATGTGCGCGTCTGTGTGAGTGAGTGAGTGCCCATCGGATACGGATGCATTGATGTGCTTTTGCCGCATACCTTATAAATAATATAGCCCAAAATAATCCGAAAACCCATAAGAATCCGTTAGAAAACGCCCTTGCTAACCCAAAATTGCTTATCAATCAAGTATACGCCCATTTGGCACGTGATAACCTTCGAAGGATACCCTTTTCCCGCTCAAAAGAACCAAAAGCGCGTGTTCCCACTGCCCATTCGCGTCCAATCTGGCGCCCTATTGGCCTTTTTGAAAACATCTGTTTGCCCAGCTGCCCATGTGTGTATGTTGTGTTGGCTAATTGACCAACTCCCCTCTTGCCAAACACCTCTATTCACATCTCTTAAACTCTTTACTTGTTTGTTTTTCTTTTTCTTGTTTTTGTTAAGTGATCGATAATATGTGATGATCAGTTTCCAGTGTCAAGTGTTTAGAAAAACGAATCAGTTTGAAAAGTAACATTCACATACAAGTTTTCTTTTTATAAACGTTTGGAGATTCCAAGAATAATTTTTTTTCAAAAAGATTTTTCAAAATGTATGGATTTATGACACCTTTTTTTTCCGAGTGCCGCGTGACCTTGTGTAGCATCCTCATCGCGGGCTAAGATCAAACTAGAACATATCCGTATAAGTGCGAGTACGTGATACCGTTTATATGGTGCATATATAGCCAGCGGACGTGGGCTGTTTTTGCCATTAGCTGCACAAATCCGAACGATTCGAATGGAATCGAATCGATGACGAGGTTGCTTTCGTTACGATCGTCCCAATATGTTTTGCATATGATCAGTTAATCTAGCAGTGAAATATAGGGATAAAAGCTAAATTGTATCCAGTTTATTAATCTATATCATATATAAATGTCGTACAAATGTTAGGTTCATTGATAAATCCACTTCGTAATAGATATGTTACTAATTTGATCTAAAGAACGTGCCTATAAAAACACTCGTATTAGTTCGTTAATTAACTCATTCACCAAACTATCATATCGGCCATCTATTAGTTTTACTCAATGAAATCGAATCGAGTTCGATTGGTTCAAAGCGCCTTGAGGAGCGATCGTGTTAGGAATGCTGCACTGTGGTCACAGGTATGACAAACTGACAAGTACGACTTTATGTTTGCCACACAAACACAGATCGCGGTTCTATATTGTATATATATATATTAGCATTGTGTGGGTCGAAGAAAGAAAGAAAACAGCATCAAGAATGAGTTAAGTAAAGTCGCGCAAATAACTCGCTCATTTCGTCATTTTGAGCAGCTATCAATATTTGATATATGTCCAAATACACAGACATGGCTAAATCCATATGTTTGTAATATGTGAACATATGCAAATTGATTCGGAGATCTACACAGGGAAAAAAAGTGTGAATTCTTTTGACATTTTCAAGTTTTAAACGATTAAAGATTTTTATATGTGATATAAAACTTAAGGAATTTTCTTAGATTTTTATGGTATGATGATTACAAATTTATAATAAATAAATATTTTTCAAAACCCACTTTATAACCAATATAACAATTAAAAAATCAAACATTTATTATTACATCTTCCTTTTGAAATCAGTTTTTCTCTGTGCATTTAGACGGATCGCCTTGACGTCAAGCATCGTAAAATCCTCCGATTTTGTAGATTTGTTGACTCCAAACCCCGTTTGTGTGTCAACAGTATTATTGTGTTTAAATCTGTATGTTTCTGTTTCGGTTTCTTGTTAGGTTTTTGTTTGTGACTCTGTTTTTTGTTTCGAGAACGCTTGAGTTTCATTAACAGGCGGGGGCGGGTCGCCAGGCGAAGGCGTTCCAAATGCTTTGGCTTTGGCCAAAAACGAAAACTAAAACTCATTTTGACCAAATGCGTTCAAAACTATGCGGCGAAACAGCGAGTGGGCAGTTCTCCGCCAGTTCAAAGTTGTTTGAGAGCAGCAATTATCCAAATGATCAGCCGATGCTAAAGATCGCAGAAGTGGAGAACCCAAAATCCGAGTCAAGGAGATGACAAAAAAAAAAATTGATCCTTAGATTAATCTAGCAAATCGGGGATTTTTCCTAAACATATTAAAAAAAATGTTTTTATATTAAACCTAAAGGGAAAAATGAATTCCGAGCCTAAGAACTAAGCATAAAGTCAAGGAGATTATTAATC